TAATAATAATAATAATAATAATAATAATAATAATAATAATAATACTAACAATTATAACACATAATAACCAGTCATCATACAATAATAAATGGAATAAATCAATCACTTCACTGTCATAATTTACGGTAAAAGTCCTATACACATAAATACGCACTGAATTTTACCATAAAAAGCGATCACTCAATAATTTCAAAATAGTATATTTTAGTAGAATCTATTCAACCAATATTTGATATTGAAATTTAGAGAATTAAAGCTTATTAAATATTATTCAAGAGAACAACCATTTAAGATAACTGAAGATTAGAAATAAATAATGATTTGCTATCTAGAGAATACTCACTTGTGGTCTCGACAGTGCCACCGCACATATTAAGAGAAAGGCTAGCAAGAAAACGGATGTCCGAAATATCCTATAAATTAGATAAGATTTCAAAATGCAAATGAACAATAATTATCAATATTTGACTTAACATAAATTTGATATATTTGGGTAAATAACCGATAAGACAAAGACTTATAATATAAAATTAGAATTTTATAACGAAAAATAACAGATGTATTAATCATACAGAAAAAAAACTATAGTACTAGTCATAAATTAATAAAAGAAGGGTGGGAATATAAAATAGAACTAATTTGTGTTGCCATGTACTAAGGAAGAAAGCATTGGGTCGGTTATTTTGACAGGAAAAATAGGGCAATAGTGGAGCAATTTAACTAGACTGACAGTAACCGGACGTCGTCGGTAATGCAAGCCTACAATCGTCCATGGCTTAGAAAAAAAAATATGAGGAAAGGCAACTAAAACCCGACTTGTAAGATACTAACTTCTGACACTTGCTTGGTGAACGTCCTGTATCAGACGAGCCTTCTACAAACATTTCTTGAATAGAGTCTAAAATTCCACCAACTGAAATTATGAAACATTCTGATGAGTTACAAAAACAGTATCAATATAGTAATTGCAGTGCCGGGTGGCCTGAACAAATTCATCCCTCCCCTTATTATTTATATAATTTTGTAGAGCTTGAAAATTCTGGGCGGAAAAACATTTTTGACTGGGTTAGACTAACTCTGCCAAAATGAACAAAGTAATGCTAGAAGATGATTTACGAATTCGACAACACTATACATTAACATCGGTGGTGAATGAGCCAATTCGTGGTTTGAACCGCGCATACTCGTATCAAGGTCAACCGACACAAACAAACATAAACAAATACATACAACCAAGGAGGCACTGTCTTATAGCATGGACCTATAGGTCCATGATATTATAGTAAAAACATCCATGCACACAATAGGTTTAGGTTGACCTTGGATAACACTGGATACGCGCTTGCGCAGTTCAAACCATGAATTGGATTATTCTTGCTTTCTAATCTCGAGGTCATGTGTTCAATCCCTGACAAGTTACCTTTCTTTTCACGACACTCCCTAAAGCTTTCTCAATGAGACCACTTTTTGTTGCTTCACTAGTATCTTGTGGGTATGTCTAGTGTTATTTATTGTGAATAGCATTTATACTGTTTGGAATAATGAAATGAAATATAAAAAGAATAAAATAAATACTGGAAAATATTGTAGTAAAGACCTCGTCGACTTGCAAAAGCCAAACCGGAAATATGTTTTCAAAGACTTGTTTCTGTCAGACCATTCGGGCCAACGTAGGCTTACTTGTTTTAGTATTCAGTTTTCCGCCTCAGTGATCGAAAAATGTTGTTGACAAAATATCATGAATACTGTGCTTTCTTATCTGCTTCGAGTGCAATGAAGATTATTTATTGTTTAATTGTCCTTTTTTACCCTTTCCAACAATAAAAAAACCATTAACTACTTCGTTTCTTGTGAATTCATTTAGATAAAAAAAAATTGTCAATTATGTATATACGTAGACTACTACATCACTCTCCTTGTCACTGTTGAAAACACAGGTACGTTTTTGTTTGATACAAACGGTTTTTTAAACTATCCTTTTTTTAGTATTGGGTGACCATATTATATGAATAAGTTTTTAATTTACTTCACTGCAAGTAAAGTGATGTATTGTTCTATTGTTGTCAACATTTTTATTTATTTTGGCATTCGTTAAGAACACAAGATAATTAGCCGGAATTTCAAATGTGACGTAGGTCGGGAAAACAGTATTTCTTCCTACCAATTTTAATCAGTTTTATAACAATCATCGGACCACAGCAGGTATTTTGTTGATATATTTTAGTGCTATAAGCCTACTTAACCAGATCCTTATGGATTTAAATATATATGTAACCTTTGTTCTCAATTAGCTTATTTAAGCATGTATTTTTAGTATATTTTTGTAGGAATATTTTTGCGCGTTAACAAAGCGTTAATATCTGTTAAGAAAACTCAGATTGTCTGAGCACCAAAGGCCACTCAGTAGACCGCTAACGAGGCCGGCTCTGCCCATACATCCAGCTGGGATATTCAGTGCCCCAAGTAATTGGAGTCTGGACTCAATGTGTGCGATGGTCAGATTAAAAGAATAAAGTAGGTCCGTTCTCGGGCATTATTTTTTTTTTTTACACACGAGCAGTAAAATATAAATTCTATAACATCGAGGATACGTGAAAAATAGAATGATCATAATTTACGTCATCGTTGAAACTGAATAGAATTGAGGACTAGGGCGTTACACATGTAACATTTTTGTGCAAAACGAAAGATTTGTTAGATAGCTTTATTTTTCCTCTTTTTAGTTTATCATATAGGCCTAATTCAGTGTGTGCTATCTGTGTTTTTTTTTTATTTATTATGTTTTAGTATTTGTATTATATTGTACCCACAAAAGCAAATTTCGTGTATTGTATTTACTACTGTATATGACAAATGAACTTGACTTTGAAATTTGAACTTTGAACTTTAATGTCTTACGCAAGTGTATCATGCCCAATCCATAGGCAAGAAAAGCGACCGTGATGCTGATCAGAATAAAAGCTTGCATGGTTTTTCCAACCCATCGATACTCAGGAAATTCCTCTACAATAATCTGAAACAAGAAGTTGTTATCTAATTAATTGGTGACATTTTTAGTATTTTAATTTACTACTGATGTTATTTAATTTTGCCATATACTGTGTACTGGCATTTCTCAATAATCATGGTTATTATTATGATGATTATTATTTGGATTATTCAAATGGTTCATTTAGTTGCCTACGATTTTTTCGTTGAGTATTATTTTCATTCGACTGGTTCGTAAAAATAAACTTCGTCAAAAAATAATTGATAGGCTAACAAAACATCCTACAAATATGTCAAATAAAATGTTATAGTGTGGACAGAGCTTCAGACCAGTAAAATACATTATTGAACGCAGAGCCGTAGATAGAGAGAGTTTGGCCAACTCTGTTTCACGGGATTCGATATACGCGCGTGTGATTGGGTGGATCGCAATCACATGACTTACACCGACCACGTTGTCACCAAAACAAAACATTAAAGCTATACGCGCGCATGCGCCTGGGCTGTTTGGTAACTGGCGTCCATGCGCCAAGTTGGCCAAACTCTCTCTATCTACTCTAGCTCTGATTGAACGTTGATTATGGCTCCCTCATCAGTTTTATTATCTTTTGACAAGGCGACATTCACATGTAGTAGGTATAGAGCTCATGATAACAAGTTCTCGTAATCTCGAAAGCTCCTATGAGGGCAGTATAATAGAGGCCGTAGATCTAAAAAAATGTCTATTAATCAATCAGCCGAGTGTTTTAGAGCTACTCAAGAGAGGAGTATAATAGAGGCAATAGATTTAAAAAAAGATCTATTAATCAATCCACTATTATTCAATTAGCCTCATGAGGGCAGTATAATAGAGGCAGTAGATCTGCTAAAAAAAAGATCTGTTAATCAACTGATGGTTTGGGTTTAGGTTTGCTTTTGTATTGTTTTAATGTGATGTGTTTTGCTTTTTTCTCGTTCTTGTTTACATTTTGTACAAAATACTTCAATTCAGCTTTTGCTGCTAATGTATTTTTTATGAAGGGGTATATATATATATATATATATCTGTCTCTTATACACATATAGA